GGGTGGTGTTTTTCAAAATGTGGCTTTCGCCGTAGCGCCAGGCACATTCGCTTAAACGATGGCAAGAGCTTCACAGATGTAAGGCGGCCAGTTTTCGAAATGCGGCTCTCGCTTACAAACATTTGCAAGAGCTTCACGGATGGAAGGTGATCCGTTTTCAAGATGTGGCTCTCGCCTTACCGCCGCGCACATTGGTTGCAACACACTTCACAACAACAAAAAACTTCACGGATTCAGGGCGGGGCGTTTTCAAAGTCTGCCTCTCGCCTTAGCGCCGCACACACTTGTTTTGAAAATGCACCACAGAGCTTCACGGATTAATGGCGGTTCCTTTCCAAAATGTCGTTCTCGCCTTAGCGCTGGGCACATTCGTTTTGAAATTTTGCACGAGCTTCACGGATTGAGGGCGGGTCGCTTTCAAACTCTGGCTCTCGCCTTAGCCCCGCACCCATTCGTTCTCAAAACCTGCAAGATCTTCAAGGATTGAGGACGGATCCTTTCCAAAATGCGGTCCTCGACTGAGCGCCACGCACCTTCGTTTGATATATTCGCAAGAGTTTCACTAGTCCTCATGGTTAAACGTACCAAACACTGCGTGTTGGAACGATTCAGGATTGTCAGGCGCAACAGTTACGTTGATTCGCGCTGTTGAAATCCAAAGAATGGTGCTCTGGCACGACTCAAGAACGCCAAGACGTAAGACGCAGCTTAACTCATGGCGTTGAGATCCTGGACATGGTGTGTTGGCACGCTTCAAGATGTTCACACGGTTGTCCCTCAACGGGGCAATTCCCTCTGCGGGAATGACCCCTTCTAGGGGCGGAGCCAACTGAGAGGGATATTGGAGGGAGAGTGTATTTCAACGTCGTTGGTGAATATTGGGTTTACACTGGACCTCCTCCTCCTCCGCCTCCTAATCCTGCCCCTCCTCCTCCTCCTCCGCCTCCTCCTCCACTTCCTCATCGTCCTAATGCTCCTTCCACTCCGCCTCCGCCCCCTCGTCCTCCTCCTCATCCTCATCCTCATCCTCCTCCTGTTCCCGATCATCCTCCTCAACCTTCCCCTCCTGATCTTAGGGATGCGTCGGCCTACGGACCGAATCCGTTCTCCGTTTGAGCGATGACCCCAGATCATTTCTGAAGGCGGCTGGATTCCTTAGATAAACACTGATGTAGGCATCCGCATACAATCGACTCAACGATAGTAGGCGGCAAGAAGACGAAGGAAGCGCGAGCAACCCTCTCTTTATGCGGACACGTCTCGAAAGCCAATAATTGAATGCTCGGGGCGAAACCCTAAAACGCATCCCCACCTCGCACCTCGGGAGGACGAACGACGGAAAGGAAGGAGCAGCGGGGGGGGGGAGGCCCAAGAGGGACCACGGGACCGCCCCAAAACGCTAGCGGGGAGACCGCTCGAAATGAAACGCGCCTACTCAGAGGGGTAAAACACACACCGCCCAAGAACCCCTGCCAAGAAACTTCCAGGTAGAGATCAACCCGGGACCCCACCCTAGAATACAAAAACTGATGAAAAGCCCAGGGCCCAAAACGGGCGGCACAAAATTGATGGGAGCAGGGGACACAAAAGAAGACGCCCCTCCGCCTACGGCGGAGGGGCCGCCACGCTCGACCCCGAAATCGCAGGTTGCGTGGTGAAGGTCTTCCACAGGTAGAGGGCCCAATTCTGCGGCACTTCAGGTAGATGCAGACCATCCGCTCCAGGGCGGTTTTGGTCATCGGACGCACGATGTCCATTTCCCAAGGCAGAAGACGAAACGAAAGAGAGAAATCGAAGTGTAAAGTAGGACTAAAGGGTCTAGCGACGGGTTCCCCCATCGCGCGTCCAATGGCCACCATACCAATCGTCATGGGCATTTTGGTCGCTACCCCAGCTGCTGGCTCCCCCGCAAGGAGGCCAGCGGCTTCCACACGTATAGTCACTCTGCATGAAGACCGTTTTCGTGGACTGGGGATGCTGATACGCTGCTGCATACGACCCCGAAGCCGGGGCGCAGCAGCCGCATGATACGACTCACGCGCACGGTCGGTCTGGGCCCCTCGATCCCCCATTCGGGGGCCATCTAGAGCCCCGCGCCTGAAAGCCAAATTTTCCATGCTGAGCTGACCACGTTCGTTCGTAGATGGGCTCGGTCGTTCGGCGCAACTGACGCGAGATCCGACCTCTCTGCCGACCAGCCGCCGACTACGTTGGAGGATGAGACGGCATGTAGCCCACGGGCATAGGAGCTGGCGCACAACGCGCGCCAGACCTCACCCGGGGGGGAGGCCACAAGGCGACGGGCCCCCGACGACGTGATGACCCATCGTGGCTTTCGCGTCGGGCTACCCGACTGCGGCCGCAGACACGCTACCGGCACGGGGCTGCGCTGGCCTTCCACGCGGGGCAGCGCGCGGCGCTGGCCCCCTGAAGCACACTCGAATTCGGTGGTGGCTGAGGCTTTCGAGTTGGTGGTGGCTGAGGCTTTCGACTCGGCTGGCGCGCAGCGGCGGGCCCCAGCTCCGCGGGGGGGCGATGCCTCCAGTTGGTCGTCTGTCGCGGGGAAGCAGCCCTTCTCATGCCACCATCCTTGAGCAAGCGAGCAACGCATCCCTTAGGGATGCGCTTCCGCATTGCGGCAAGGCGCGGCTCGGCGGCCTTCGTGTCCGGGCCGGCTTCTGCTCGGGGGCGCCCGGATCAGCGGCCCGAGCGTCGCTCGCTTCAATCCATTCGCACCACGATCGATCCCGATATCGGTCCGACTGACAGCGCGCACTAGACTGCGCGTTCTGCGCGATGAACGCCTACCACGCTGGGTCACTGCCCCAACGCTCGACCACAGACTCGGCGGCATTTTTGCGGCTCGCGCGCCGAACCCGCTCAAGAGCCATCGGCGCGTCGCCACACGGGGAACGGCGACCTCAACGCACTACCCTGCCCCCGTCGCTTACGTCGACGAATCGAGGAGCCGCGCCTCGATCACATCACGGACGCGCCGGCGATCAGAGTCGCGCCCAGACAGGTCGCCCCCGACACGAGGAGGACAACCTGGACAGACAGCGCTGCGGGCCTTACTCTCAGCAGCGAGGACACAAGAGCAATGCGAACAGAATACGTCCGCCCCGTGCTCCACCAGCTCGGTCTGGGCAGCGGCAACGGCCACTGGAGGCCGCTCCAAGGGCAGCGGGACTAGTTCGTCCCAGCGGCGAGCATTCCGAAAGATCATGTCTCACTTGCAAGGTTGCCACCCGCATCAAGCATCAACCCAAAGCTGCGTTCGCGCGCCACGCCCTTGGAAATGTCGGTTTGCGCGCTTGCGCTGCGCTTGCGCGGTCGCTGCTTAGGAGCGCCCTTGCGCGGCGCAACGCCTGGGTCACTCCCGAGATAAGTCGACATGTCGAGAGCGGAGATTTCTCTGGCGTCGGGTCACCCCAACGCGTTGACAGCGCCGCTGGGCCCCCCCCGCGCACCCCCCGCGCCCTCGCCCGGCCCCCCGGCGCCTAGCGCTCGCCAGTCTCGACGAACTCGCGGCGCCACGTCCGAAGCAGTAGCTTCCTGGATGGGCCCGCAAGAGCTGCGCATCGAAGAGGCCCAGGACCCTTCTGCATCGAGCCAGACAAGCGAGTAGCTGACGGGCGGCGCGCCCCATCATTAGAAGCGTCGCCCTGAACAACCACCCCCCTCGCATCCGGGGGCGGATTGGGAAGGGGGCGATCCTCAGTTGGGCAGAGAGCAACCCTCATCAACGTCAGCGTTTGATTGCCCCGTCGCGGTGCCGCCGCCAGCGTCGGGCCCCCCGTCGCGCTTCCATCTTTCGCGCTCGCAACATCAGCGTCGGGCCCCCCCGGCGCGGCGCCCCCCCTTTTCCAAAGAACACCATATGACGCAGGACTGCCTGCCCTGACAGGCAGAAGTAGCTCCGGCTTCGACGGCGCGCGCTTGCCCGCGCGCGCACGGGCCGCGTGGAATTGGAGCGGCCAGCTGCCATGTCAACAGCAGGCAGCGACACGCCTAGACGGCAGGCCTCGCCGTTACTATGCACGCACAAGAACCCAGCACCATTCTGAATGACACCGCGGCACCCTGATGGGCGAACCAGAACGCGCATCCAATGCCTGCGGCCTTCTGGGCTTCAACGTAGACCCACGCGCCAGAGCACCGCCCATGAGCAGGGAAAATGACGCGCATGTCGGGGCCGTGAAACGCGTCGGCAAGTCGCCTGTGGAGAAGCCAATTCGGCGCTTGCGCTGCAGGTCGTCTGGAACGAGACGAGACCCGAACGGGGTGAAAGCATGGTCGCCCGCGCACACAGCATCATCGCAATGCCCCGCGACAGCGGCGGTTTGCCCCGGCACGTCAACGCTCGCGACGCC